GGTTAAACAGAGGTTACTGTATTTGAATACATATGATTATGCAGGTGAACATAAATTAATTGATAAGATAAATGTACAGTGATAAACAAAAATGGTTGCACAGGGGCTTATCAGCATTGTGTTACATTAACACACGCAAAGCATGTATCACATGAAAGTCTTTGCCTGGAGTTCTTTGAGACTGAGAGACAAGAGCGATAAGGCAGAGCAAGAGAGAGGACAGAGATAGAGTAAAAGAGGGGACAGGGAAGAGAGAGGAGAGACTATCTCCCTGACACAGAGATAAAAGAGGTGTTGAGTTCCTTTGGGACCTTATTTGGGCGTCACAGTGGTGATGTAAAGCACCCAGTGATCAGATGAGCGATTAGATTGGTTGTCTTGCCACCAGCCCCTTGTCCCACTTGGTCCCCTGTGATTATCTGGGTAGGAGGATGGAAGGGTTGGAGGGAGTATCGATGTAGTGAAAATGACCATGAAAAACAAGTTACTGAGCAGGAAAAAAATAATGGAAAAACAAAGGCATGAAGGAGTGAAAACAGATGTAATAGAGGTTGAAGCAAGAGAAAGAAGGACAGGGCCTAAGATTGAGAGGAAAAGCAGAGAGGAGATGAAACATTGGGGGTGAAAGTTACTGTACATAGACGAGTGGGAAGATGGGAAGTTTGGCCAGAAGGAAAAAGGAGAAGAAGAGAAGACAAGGCAAGAGAAGACCTCCTTAGGGCAGACAATGAGGGGGTGATAAGATCTGAAATTGCTTATAGACGCTTCGCTAACTCCAGCCCACACAGACGCCCATACTCCACTGAAGTGCAGGAAACAGTGCTCACACACACACGAAAGGAAAATGGGGGGAAAAAAAGAATTAGAACACCACACGGGATAACAGGATGTAGAGAGGGAAGTAGGTAGAAGGAGAATGAGAGGAGATAGAGAGAAGTGGGTTTCAAATTATTTTAAGTCGGTCGAAGGATTCAGTCCTCATGGGATCAGAAATTAAATGTGCTCTGTGGGGGCCCTCAGAGAAACGAGTGGAAGGGGCACAGAGAAAAAGAGACAGAGCAAGGAAAAAAGGAGGGGAGATTTGTCTGCTGCTCTTGAATAAATAGTGCAAACTGCATATTATTTTGCATATAATGTATATATAATATCATATAACAAAATTACTTCCAGAAATGTATCCTGTGGTACAATTTTCATGCACAGGCCTATTTTAGTGTACCCAAAATTTAAAGGTTACAGTTCTTTAAGCCTATTTTGTTATGTAGCTGAGAAAGATACTAACAGATAATACAGTTAAAGAGGCACACCATGGTTGTCAGGAGTTTGTTTTTAATATAAATACCTTTTGTGTGGAGCCATAATCACAATTTGTTTTGCAGGGATATCAGGAGATATCAAGCTTTCGAGGAATGTATAATCCGTCATACTTAAGTCTGGCGCAGACCAAAATACACTTTGAATTACTTTCCTCATTCTTTATTTATTCAGGGATTGTCATAGAGCAAAGCTCACACTCACAATGTTGCCCTTCAAACAAACACGCTGTATACCAAAAAGTGTTGAGTGTAAAGATCAGGATTGTTACATTCAAATATAGCACAAACACAAGAACACACAATGTCAATTCCTGAAGGTTTTTGCACCCAATTGAATACTCATATACTGGAATATTGGAATACATATTTGTAAGGCAATAGAGTTTCCCATATCCCTGTGTCTTAAAAGTGAAGATAAATGGAACAGTAGCTCGGCTTTATGAATTAAAAGACGACAGTGTTGTTCCCTTCACACGGTGAGTGATGTCCAGACTACCTTCCCACAGAGGATGTGATGATCGGTTCTAAAACTGTCACTGGGCATAAATCTTCCAGCTGTGAGAGACGGCACCGTGTGACAGGAGGGTGTGGGCAGTCGCGTAAATTTCATCTGCATAGTCGAGCGCTGGTAAATATGTTGCTCTTACCATCTGCATTCGACCAATAAAAGAGATAAACTACTCCTTTCTCTAAATTTCATTTTAAGCTTCTCAGTTACTCAATTACTTTGAACCTCTGATATTGTACTAATTAGTCGATAAGCTTATACAATGAAACTGAGATTCAAATATTTGCTATTCTGAAGTGGGAGACATAAGCCATCATCAACATCTAGGTACTATCCATAGGCTGGAATTAGCATAGTATCCTATGTTCAGTGTGTTCGACTACAGAGTAGCCTTGGCGCCCCTAGACACCATAGCAGGTTTGCAGACTCAGACTTCACGCGATCATGGTTTTCCCTGTTTTTCTGCTTCAGAGGAAGCTTTAGTCCTTACAGTTTTCACGCAGACCCACAGTTAATGTTTTTTAAGTCAGGCTTGTGCAACTTTATGACCCCTACCCTTTTTTAAGGGGTGTGTTAGAGATTGTTTTGCCCACTGAGCTTCATACAGATAATTCTTTGTGTGTAAATTAATTCATATGCATATATCCAACCCATCAGATGGAGCGATTGGCAGACCGTAGAATGCATGTCGATATGCATCTACCAGGCGACAAGCTTGGTTTACACATCAGAGGTGGTGCTGTCCTCCCTACACAGGAACCTGCTGTCACCACCACAGACAGGTACACACACACACAAACACACACACAACCTGAACCCTTAAAGCAAGTCTTAAACCTCAAACAGCTCTTGGTCTAGGCCCAAAATGGTCCCCACAAAGAATCCATAAGAGTACACACACAATTATCCATACAATATGTTCAAAGATTTCAACAAGCTTTAACAAACAGTAATTATAAAAAAGTGTCTTCTTTAATATTTTGAGTCATTCACATGCACCTGTTTGCACAGATTAGTAGCCATATGATTCATATAATTGTAGTCGGCGAAACCCCATGGGCTTGATCGTTGCTCTTGATGACAACAACAAGGCAGCTGGGGAGCTATTCTGGGATGATGGAGATTCCCGAGGTATTGTTGCCTTTTCTCATTTTAGCCGGTTTGTGTGTGTTCCCATTTGTGTGTGTGTGAGACAGGATCATTTGCATCTTGTTATTACCGCTCATTGCAGGTGTTCTTTTATGAGCATCAAATGGAAGCACTTAACTTGTCGAACGCGAAAAAGCAAATGAGTCATTGTGACTGTTAAAACATCGTCAGTCAGCTCATGCAATCCAATAAACGAAGGACAGATACTCTGTTACTGTTTGACTGTATTTCTATCGTCAAACCAAACATTAACATCTGCTATTCATCTTTTTATTTACAGAAACAGTCAAAGCAGGAAACCACATCCACTACACGTTCTCTGTTGACTATGTAAGTTTCCCCCTCACATGCCTTGACACCATCTTTCAAATCCAGCCCACATATTCCTTCTGATCTGAACTCAAGTTCAAAGTTCAAAGCCACTGGAGACTTTCGACTTTCCCACTCCGGAACACCAAGCATGATTGATCCATGTTATACTGGTGTAGCTTTGTTGGATCAAGAACCCTATGTTCCCACATCACACAGCACTGAGGATTCTCTTGCATGTTTAATGTATGCCAGGGATGTTCTTCCTGTACATTAGCATTAGAAGAGGGTTTACAGACAGGAAATGTATTGGACCAGATGTCTGACTGATGAGTTTGGGGAGTTCATAAGCTGGTTTGTTCAACTGTTTTCTGTAGGTGCACGTGATTTAAGGCACGACTGCTACGTACTCTGGAATAGACTATATCAATCTGTCCCTCTGTACATTTAAAACATCCGTAAATAAAGGAAATTTCATGTGTTGCAGAATACAAACCAAGCCATCATAATAACAGCAATATCAATCAGAGAACATGCACTTGAAATTATGCCTGTAACTTTGTGCTATCTTTTAGGGAGTTTTGACAATGAAGGTGACCAATGCTGGCTACAAGGACCCAAACAACCTTAAGTTTGAGAACATTACCATCCTTGGGGTGCCTAATCCTCCCCTGTACGCCAATGTGACTCACATTGGCACTGGAACACTTGGGAAATCTATCAGGGTGGTGCCCAACAGCAACATACAGTACGATGGTGTCAAGAAGGTAAACTCACACATGCTCATAGACATCGCCATGCACAAATAATAAGTAAAAACATTAACCATTAATTCTTTTTTTCTCATGCAAGACAGAAAAGTCAGTCAATTACATCAATTACACAATTTACAAACATGAATATCTTCCTATAATTATACTAGGATGTAAGACAGTATTCCGGTCACTTAAAGGGATAAGAAAGATTTGGTGAATAAAGCCATAATATCACAAGAAAAAGTTGACGTAAATTAAGTATCATGATTTTGAAAAGATTCGGCAAGATTTTGCAATTAAGTCTTGATAGTACTGTTTCCCTCCTCAGCTTAACAAATCAGGTTTAGCATCTTTCAGCTTATTATGTTGGTCTCTTACAGCTTTGTTTCCAGCAGCAGCATGAGGCAGCTCATTTCAGTAAAGAACCTCTCAAAGACCAACCAGACACTCATTGCATAGTTAGCGACTAGCCAACAAACACAATGGAGCTTTTAGCTGATAGAGGCTCAAGATATTGTCTTCAGGAGTTAATGGAGACCAGGCCTAGGCTAGTAAGAGAGTGAGAATTGAACTAAGATTCATCATACTTAGTCTCCATTTTACCTGGAAAACCTTGCTGGTCAGATGAAGGGTGGATGAGTTCTGCGGTGGCTATACCCTTTGTAGACTTTTGCCATATTTTTCAATAGGACCAGGAATGAAACCATACCTGTACATCTCAAGGTTAGCCTCTAAGTATAAAGAATGATAACAATTTACATTGGGTGAGGATGTGAGAGAGAGAGAGAGAGAGAGACAGAGAGAATGAACAATAGCAACGATTCTATGGTAGATGTTTCAGGGTTATGAACAAAAAGCAATAGTCTGTGAAATGTCAAGAGGTTCAATTAAATAATACTATAGAGGTAAGAATTGTGTGTGTGTATAAAATTGTGAGTACACGTGTTAATGTGTCTGTAGTTGTGCTTGTTTGATCCTCAAGGTCTTTCTAGTCAGACACACAAACCTGCATTTATCAAATGACTCTCAGCGGTAATCATTTCTTGGGGGTGAAGGGTAAATGTGCTGTTAGACCTAAACTCTGCCTTGTCATTTCCATCCGTCTTTATATGCCTTCTCGGCCTGGGCCTTGAATATAGCTCACAGCCGCCAAACATCATTAGCTCGATACACACTCAAATAGAACAATACTTTACAATACACAGGTCACATTGGCTGCCTGTGTTTTATTTCATTTTTTAAAATTGATAGCATCATGTTTTATTTCAAATAAGTTCCTTCCTGCAGTGCATGTAAAAAGGACTCATGCCTTCCCTTATTCTAGCCTTAGAAGCCACAATTTAGACAGAGAAGCTGATTATATGTCCAACATTCATGCACCTTTCCTGATTCAGTAAGATGCATGTTTACTGTATAGCTTTGAGCAAAGCCACATCGTTCAATATATTTAGAAAATATTTCCTCGTACAAGCAAATTT